GAGGGCTCTCGCGCTCACTTTTCGTGTATAGAATTTCGAAAAAACATCGGTGCAAATTATAAGTCTGTCTTATAATGTCTGGTGTTTTCGTGTTTGTTGGTTTGTTTTTATTTTGTTTTATTGCGAGTTGGTTATTAGATGCTGCTCCCCGGAGCCCCGCCCTCTCCTCTCTGCGCTACAAGCAGCTCGCAAACGAAGGGCGCCCTTCGTTTGCGAGTTACTCTCTTACTCCCAGCAAATGGGCGATAGAAAACCGATCGGTGCTTATGCCATTCCCAATATGCGCTGGCTGACGTCGGGGCAGCATGAGTACGAGCATTTTTTTTTTTTGCCGATGCCCGTGATGCCGCCCCGGGCAACCGCCCGTATCTAAAACCGCTACTGTTTACAAACATTCAGAGATGAACTTACACACTTGCTTTACTGGGATAACTTCCTCGGAGATGAAATGCTGGATTGGTAGCGAGGCTACAAATACACACAGCCACGCTATCACGTGAGGCATACTGCTGTCACGTGCTACGGTTATGATCCGAGTTACGCCATGTCGCAAGTTTTGTGAGGTGCTTTTTTGATATTTAATGGATCAGATTAAATTTTTTTATTTCTCTCCGATTTCCGATCCAGTAATTTACGTCAGTATTGGACCGATACCGATACATAATATTGGATCGGTCCATCTCTAATGTGGACACAATAATTGTGTTTTTAATTATATGACAATCTGTCTGTATGTAATTTGATGACTTAAATGTAATGTAAGTTTGGACACAATAAGAAATCCTGCAATGTTGTTTTTTTTTAAAAAATTATGTCATTCTTAATTCTTTTTTTTTCTTGTTTCGAAAAACACCTGAAACCTTCTTCCAAAGCCAACAGAGATTTTGCTGGTTTATTGCTAATTACCTTCTCTTCAGTATTCCTCAGGTTTTATGGATTTTACTATTTTAAAATAAAGATGAATAGATTGTGTTCATATGGAACAAAATGAAACTTATACAAAAATTTCTTTTTTTCCTCTTTTTATTGAGTTTATCCCTTAGAGGGGATGAACACAGCACATGGAAGATCATACAAAAAAAAAATCAGGGTGAATTTTTATTTTTGAGGTAAACAAAGATGTGCAGAATGTAAATATTAAACACATTGTCTGCAGATTAGTGTAAAATCAGAGTTCATATCTGTGTAATATAAATGCTCTAAGCCTAGAGTGTTAAACTCAGTGAAAATCTCCTTTCTGTCAGTATAAACACATTTACACATTTAAAGTGCAAATCATTTTTTCTACTGTAGTAAATGAAAAGAATTTTTAAAAAGGAATAGGAAAGGAATCTGAGCTCTTTCTCATTGTGGAAAGCTTTAAAACTTTCCAAAGCCCACATGCCGGGTTGAATCTGGCCCCTGGGACTCATCTTTGACAACCCTCTTCTAAGCCTTTCTTAACCTAGTTGCCATTAAATAAGACTTTCTTTGAGACCACACACTCATCAAAAAACTCTTTGGTGAGGTCATAAATCAAGTAAGCAGCTGGGTCATTTCCTCACAGACTTCTATGCAATCACATTTTTAAGAAGCACAGGCTGGCCATTCAAAACAATGCAGGTTGAAGGCACTTACACATTAGCTTCACCTGGAAATTAACGGTAGTAAACTGTAAAAAGTCAGTGTTATGAAGCTTATCTGACAGTACATCTTCATTTTTCTGAGAAAGGTTTGGAGTATATTCTTCTAGGTGCACAGCATCAGGCTGGAGTGATTTTCTCAGGGACATGGAGGCTTGTCAGTGTCATGGAGAATTGGGTTAAAGGACTCAGGTGCGAGACTCCTTGCAGAGTGACAGTGAATTTATTCACAGTGAAAAGGTGAGTCAACAGTTCGAGTCTGTAATCCAGAAAGGGCAGTGCAG